TTGCTGGCTTGGCAATAGGCCCAGACAAGCGCAGCCACGTGACCCGGCGGAAGAAAAACGCTCGTAACGAGCGCTTCCGGCCCCAAAACGCGGAAGGATCCGCACATGTGCAGGAAGTGCAGCGGGCGCTTATCATTTGCGAGCGCCGATGACCGATGATGCTCACAACCCTCCCACGCCCTTGCTGGCTTGGCAATATGCCCAGATAAGCGCAGCCACGTGACCCGGCGGAAGAACAACGCTCGGAACGAACGCTTCCGACTCAAAACGCGGAAGGATCCGCACATGTGCAGGAAGTGCAGCGGGCGCTCTTCATTTGCGAGCGCCGATGACCGATGATGCTCGCAACCCTCCCACGCCCTTGCTGGCTTGGCAATAGGCCCAGACAAGCGCAACCACGTGAACCGGCGGAAGAATAACGCTCGGAACGAGCGCTTCCAACCCCAAAACGGCTTCCTTAACATTTGTCTGCAGACACTGCCATCATCGCGGGCGCCGACCTTTTCTGCGCGCACGCAAGGCTGACATTGATTCGGTAGGTGTATTTGAACATGGGCCACCCGAATATGCAATAACATTCAGGTCGTTTGATGCTTTTCCCTACACCTATAAAGATCCACGCGCTTCCTTAGCATTTGTCGGCAGACACTGCCGTCATCGCGGGGGCCGAATTATTCTATGCGCACGAACCATGCTGAAATTGCTCTCTTAGGTGTATTTGAACATGGGCCACCCAAATATGCAATAATATTCAGGTCGATTGATGCTTTTCCCTACGCCTATAGGGATCCATGCGCTTCCTTACCATTTGTCGGCAGAATTAGCCGTCATAGCTGACGCCAAACTTTTTTGTGCGCACGAACCATGCTGAAATTGCTCTGGTAGGTGTATTGGATGTGGGTCACCCAAATATGCAATAACATTCAGGTCGTTCGATGCTTCTCCCTACGCCTATAGGGTGTCAGAGGTCCACTGGTGATCCCCGATTGATCCTAGGGAAGGGTTACAGGCATGTTGGCCTGGGGGGTTATGGGCGCACTGACCCGCTACTTAACAAGCCCTTTTATCCCAATGGTCTAGTGGTTGGGATTCTGACATGCTATCAGAGCGAAGGTCTCGAGTTCGAATCCCAGTGTGTGCGCTTCGGGCATCCCAGTGCGGGGGGGTGTCAGAGGTCCACTGGTGATCCCCGATTGATCCTAGGGAAGGGTTACAGGCAGGTTGGCCTGGGGGGTTATGGGCGCACTGACCCGCTACTTAACAAGCCCTTTTATCCCAATGGTCTAGTGGTTGGGATTCTGACATAGGGATCCATGTGCTTCCTTAGCATTTGTCGGTTGAAACAGCCGTCATCGCAGACGCCGAACTTTTCTGTGCGCATGAACGAAACTGAAATTGCTCTGGTAGGTGTATTTGAACATGGGCCACTCGAATATGCAATAACATTCAGGTCGTTCAAAGCTTTTTCCTACGCCTATAGGGATCCATGCGCTTCTTAGCATTTGTCGACAGAAACAGCCGTCATCGCGGGCGCCGATCTTTCTCCGTGCACGAACCAAGCTGAAATCGCTCCGATAGGTGTATTTGAACATGGGCAACCCGAATGTGCATTAACATTGGGGTCGTTCGATGCTTTTCCCTATGCCTTTAGAGACATGCGCTTTCTTAGCATTTGTCGTCGGACACTGCCATCATCGCGAACGCCGAACTTTTCTGTGCGCACGAACCAAGCTGAAATTGCTCCGATAGGTGTATTTGAACTTGGGCCACCCAAATATGCAATAACATTCAGGTCGTTCGATGCTTTTCTCTACTCTTATGGGGATCCACGCGCTTCCTTAGCATTTGTCGGCAGACACTGCCTTCATCACGGGCGCCGAACTTTTCTGCGCGCACGAAACAGGTTGAAATTGCTCATATAGGTGTATTTAAACATGGGACACATGATTATGCAATAACATGCAGGTCGTTCAATGCTTTTATTTACGCCTATGGGGAATTCATGCGCTTCCATAGCATCTGTCGGCAGAAAGAGCCGTCATCGCTGACGCCAAACTTTTCGGTGTGCACAAACCAAGCGGAACTTGCTCTGGTAGGTTTATTTGAACATGGACCATTCGAACAAGCAATACCATTCAGGTCGTTCAATGCCTTTTCCTACACCAATAGGGCTCTATGCGCTTCCTTAGCATTTGTCGTCAGAAACAGCAGTCATCGCTGACGCCGAACATTTTTGTGCGCACGAACCATGCTGAAATTGGTTTGGTAGGTGTAATTGAACATGGGCCACCCGAATATGCAATAACATTCAGGTCGTTCGATGCTTTTTCCTACGCCTATAGGGATCCATGGGCTTCTTAGCATTTGTCGGCAGGATCAGCCGTCATCGCGGGCGCCGAACTTTAATGTGCGCACGAACCATGTTGACATTCCTCTGGTATGTGTATTCAAACATGGGCCACCCGGATATGCAATAATATTCAGGTCGTTTGATGCTTTTCCCTACGCCTATAGGGATCCACGCGCTTCCTTAGCATTTTTCTGTAGACATTGCCGTCAACGTGGGCGCCGAACTTTGCTGCGTGCACGAACCAGGCTGAAATTGCTCCGGTAGGAGTATTTGAACATTGGCCACATGAATATACAATTAACATTCAGGTCGTTCGATGCTTTTCCCTACGCCTATAGGGATCCATGCGCTTCCTTGGTATTTGTCGGCAGACACTGCCGTCATCGCGGGCGCCGAACTTTTCAGTGCGCACGAACCAGGCTGAAATTGCACCGGTATGTGTATTTGAACACGGGCCACATGAATATGCATTAACATTCAGGTCGTTCGATGCTTTTCTCTACGCCTATAGGGATCCATGCGTTTCCTTAGCATTTGTCGGCAAACACTGCCGTCTTCGTGGGCGCCAAACTTTTCGGCGCGCGCGAACCAGGCTGAAATTGCTCCGGTACGTGTATTTGAACATGGGCCACCCGAATATGCAATAGCATTCAGGTCGTTCAATTCTTTTCCCTACGCCTATAGGGATCCATGCGCTTCCTTAGCATTTGCCGGCAGACACTGCCGTCATCGCGGGCGCCAAACTTTTCCGATCCCGGTCGTCGTCCTCTCCTCATTTGTCGCAGCCGGGTTTGTCTGCGCTTCAGCGGTCATATTTGTCTGACCTCCAGATCCTTCGGCCATCCTTACGCGTGAGCGTCTACCGGACGCTACCTTTGTTCGCGGAGAGTTTTGTAGGTGGCAATGCGAAGAATTCCCGAGTCGCTCTCATACCATGCTGCGATTCAATGTTAATCGCCCTCAGGATCTCCCCGGGAAGGTTCGCAACAAGATGTGTGTTAGTGGTGGGCCCTTGAGCTCAGATCAGAGTGAATGTTAATAAATGAGATAATAAAAGCATGCAAATACATTCGTATAAATAAGAGTAGAGGGGAATACGAAACAACCTAGACTAGCCACGTACTCTAAGGGGTACATTCCCTTATGCTGCCTGATGCTGTCACGGTACAGATGCCTCGTAACCGTGCGCGACTCTTCGCGTCATTCCGCCTCTTCATCTACATGTTCGTTGTTGTGAGACTCGATTGCTAATGTCAGAACTGTATAGTGACACTTGATATTTTACTATTCGTAACACCCTGGGTACATTGCACCCTGGATGAATAGCATGTACTCTAAGTACGACAGCCATGTTATCGCATGTGCCCTATATTTAAAGGAAATATATTGTCGAGACTTTGTGTAATTATGGAGATCGAGGGGTTAGTTGGAAGACATTCCATATTATCTAAAGTGGCTATTGTTGGCCGGAACTTGCTTTATTTAATATTTGGAGTAAAAGCATGGTAGCACATCATTGCATATATATTCTAGAGTTCAGCTTATGAAGGTGATATTGGCTTTAGGTGCAATATTGATGTCATGTATATTCTTGTTTTTTCATGATCCTTCGGATGTCTCGGATAATGTCACGACGTTCGCATACCGAGCGAGCGGAAAGAACTTCCTGCTGGAGGCGCGAGGGCGCCCGGGGCGTCACTCTATACAAGGACCGTCGTCTCGTCAAGCTCTTTTGAATGGGTCAGCCTCCAAGGGCAGTGTGTGAGGGGCCTGGGCTCACGGACCCTTGCTCTTCTGAACAATCCCCAGACTGCTTTCAGCTGCCTTTGGGGCAAGGCCTGACCAATCCCGAATGAGATTGAGAAGTCTTTGGCTTTCGAGCCGCATATTCGCGGCTCGATTCGAAGCGCAGCTGGGAATTGATACAGAACTGGGAAGGCGATTTCATCCCAAACCCCCTTCAGACCACGGCTGAAATAGAGAGGGCAGGCGGTGCGGTTTGTCTGAGAACCTATTCGACCAACCAACGACGGGCAAAAATACAGTACATCACAGTCAGCATGCGGCTCCATTGATGTCCCTCCCCAATCCCAACCCAAGCATCCTGCCCCTCTAACAGTGAATCCCGAAGCGGCTCGTGCTGGTCAAGAGGAATTCAGCGGTGGTATTTTGTTTTTACGTCCACTACCGCAACTCGAACCCGAACTTCATCGTGTTAACTGCTGCCAGAAATCTGCAAATAGTTATAGCTAAACAAGTTACTCAGCTAAATACTTGTTATAGCGAGGGTACACCCCAGGCCTGCATTACCAGTTGTGGGCACACATATTTTTCGACGAGAATCAAGGCTCTTCAGGGCGCTTTGCAATAAGAAATGACTTGCAACACAGAGAGCACCATCTTTAGTTGGTTGCCGTAGGATAGAGGCTCGCCGCCCCGCCGCTATACCCTTGATGTTTCTCATGGAGTTCGCTCATCTCATCCCATCTTGTTTCTTCTGTTTGATCTCTAGTTTAGTCGAAGCCATGAAGTAACAAGGATTCGTGTGGTGCGTTCACGTCACTCGTAGCGAGCAACGGACGACGACCACTGCATATAGGGCAACTCCCCTCCGCTATGTCGATTATCACTCCCTCGTAACGCAATGCGAATGGCTGTTGACTTAAACTGCGAAGCATCGGCGGGCAGTCCGCGCTTCGCACTCCACGAGCACGTTCCCGACGCTATCCCATCCGACTGCCCCGACGAGATCATCGAAAACGACGAGCTCCTATCCCCAAGAGAGCGCGCCGATGCTACTTCCGGCAACGCCGCAATAGTTGCCGCCCATGTCGAACTCTCTGACCACGACAACCCAGCGGAACACCCGGGAAACGATGACTATGCCTGCCCGAAGAAGCGCGCGCGCGCGTCTCGCAAGGACCCAGCGGTGCGCGTTCCCGTGGGCACGCGCGTGCGCGTGCTGTGGCCGCGCGACGGGCAGTGGCACGTGGGGCGGGTTACCAAGTTCGACGCAAAGAAAGCGCTGCACACGGTGACGATTGACCGCGGGGAGTCGAAAAGGATCGACCTCCGCGTCGTGCCATGGAGCATACTGGTCGAAGGAGCCGTGCATCCCCGGAGCGGTCACATGCACATCGGACTCGCAGGAAACGTGCACCTTGGCGGTGGCAGCGTGTGTCATAGCGAGGCCGCATATATCGCAGACGGTGTGAGCTACTCATCGAACCAGCACCACAGCGGCGCCTCCCCCTGGCAGGGACACCATCCGCCCGCCTATGGCGGCTCCATGCCAGTTGCACCTCCCGCCCTTCTGCCTCCCCCGCCTCCTCCTCCGCTACGGCTCGAGCTTCCGTGGCAGGCGCAAGCGCAACCTGCGCCGTACCCCGCGCAGCAAACGCAGGGACAGCCCGCGGGTAGCCATGGCCAGTACAACGCTGTGCAGCACATGCAGGTGACGCAGCAGCATGCTTACCAGCAGGCTAGTTACCAGCAGCCTGATTACCAGCAGCCCCAAATGCAGCAGCCACAGCAGCGGCAACCGGCGCAGGAGCCTTCCCCCGCCCCCGCGCAGCAGCACTACTACCCGCAGGAGTACTCGCAGCAGCAGAGCTACCAGTACGTGGAGCATCGACAGCACAGCCTGTATCCGCAGCAGCTGGGCAGTGCGGCAGCGCACGCGGAATACACAAGCGCGCCCCCCATCATTCCCGCGGATCCGACAACCCGCCCCTCACCCGCGCTGCTTCACATCCCCGCGTTCGCTTCAGCGCCGCCGTCAGCGCGCCCTGCGGATGCCCCTTGCCCCTGTTGCCACCGGCGCAACCCCCCCGCCCCGGTATCCACCGCGCCCCTCGTTTGTAACTCCCTTCCCCATGCTCCTCCGCCTGCTTTCCCAGTCATCAACGCGGCACCTACGGGGGGAACTGCGGCAAGCGCATACGCAGGGGAGAGCGGAGCAGGTATTTGCGCAGGTTCGTGCGGGCACCCTCACTACCCTTGCGGAAGCAGCGGGAGCAGATGGACTGGCGGACGCGGACGCGCGGGGGGGCCGCTGGCGGGATGCACTGGCGGGGGACATGCGTGCAGTCACGGCTGTGCGCAGGGGTACGTTTGCGCAACGTATGAGACGCAGCAGCATCCCATGTACGAGGAAGGCGCACGCGGTCGTGTATCGAGTCAGGTGCATCCGCAAAGCTTTGCGGAAAGCTCCCCGCTTCCCCGGGTCGTGCAGACAGCCGCATGGTTCCCCTCCCCCGCCGCCGCGCAGGCGCAACGTCACCGCAGCGTTCCCCGCGTGCCCCTTTCCCCCAGCTGCTGGACTTACGGCGATGCAGCTGGGCATCCCGCGGAAGCCGCCATGCAGCAGCCGCGAATTGGACCGGACAGGCGCGGGTATAACCAACGCGACGCGGTTGTAGTCGCAAGCAGCAGCGGCAGCGGCGCGGATTCGGACAGCTGCAGCGGCGACGGCGACGGGAACGATCGTTGCGCGGGCGTGGTGTGGCCCGTTACGAGCGACGAGATGAAAGCTACGGTGGCGGAAATGTCCGTGGCGGTTCTTGGGGGGCAGATGAACGGGCAGGTGAACGGGCAGATGGCAGAGTCAGAGGATATGCGTAAGCCGGCGAGAAAGATCGAAGAGCTGAAGGGTGGGGAGCTTGCGAGAAAGAGAAAGAGGAAGGAGGTGTGCGAGGAAGCGGGCATAACGAGAGAGAAAAGCTATCAACCTGCGAATGCTGTCGCATGCGAAGCAGGAGAGATCGCAGCGCCACCGTCAGCGAAGACCGAACTGGCGGATTGCGACATGGAGGCTGTGGAGCTCATCTTGACCGTTGCTCACCAGCTGCGCGACGGCAAGGAGTCGCAGGCGACACAGCATGCGACTGAGGGCGGGAGGGAGGAGGAAGGCGTGCGAAAGCTGGACGAGGATAGAGGCGCGGAGGGTGAGGAGATCGAGGGCAAGGGCGAGGTGGGGAGCGGTGGAGGAGCAGCAGTTGCGACTGCTGAAGCATCTAGAGTTTCAGAAGCAGGTGCGACTGCAGCGGCGCCAGCAGCAGAAGACGACAAGCAGAGAGTCCCGGCGTGTTCCTCTGGTCCCTTCCCGCCTCTGCACCCCGTGGGTGCCACCGTGCACATGGCTCCTGCGGGGCCGCACGGCTCTCACACTCACACTCACACTCACACTCACGCTCCCGTGTCTCTGTCTGCCAGCTCCGACAGTGACTGCACGGGATGCGGCCACAGCAAGCCCGGCGCATGGGGCTTTGCTATGGGGCCCTGTGGTGGGTGCGGGGCTGGTGGGTGTGGACGCGTGGGTCAGTGCAAGGAGAGGCAAATGAACTACATGATCAGCCAGCAGACCCAGCAGAAGCAGACGTATCAGCAGCATCTGATCTGTCAATTTGACCAGGTTATGCATAACCAGCACAATTGTTATCAGCAAAACCAGCAGCAGTATCAGCAGCAGCAGCCGCAGCCACAGCCGCAGCCGCAGCAGGGCTATCAGCAGCAGCCTAACCAGGAACAACAGCAGCATGGCCAAGGCTCCCCCCTGCCACCGTGCTGTGGCACGCATCCGCACCAACCGATGTGCAGCGGACAGCCTATGACGACTGTGTGTGCTCCGTCCCAGCCTGCTGGTCTGTCCCCTGCCACTCCTCCTCGGCTGCTTGATGCTCGTGCACCGGGCACAGCAGTGCGCAGCCAGCTGCCTCAGTGCTCTCAGCAGCAGCAGCAACAACCGCAGCAGCAGCAGCAGCAGAGTCAGTATCAGCAGCAGCACCAACAGCAGGATTCAGTGAGTGGCGGCCGTGGCACAGCGGCAGCAGCCGCAGCAGCAGCATCCCCATCCATGCGGTTGCGCCTGCCTATGGCTCTCTTCACCAGCACAACTACTCCGCCACCCATGGCCCCTTCTCAGCACACTCCTCCCACGCCCACCCTCCTCCCCTGTTCCACCACACCGACCATCCCTCCCATGCTCTCCCTGCCTGCATCTACACCTCTCCCTACGCCCTCTGTAGCTGTCGCGCCTCCCTTGTCTGTTCCTGCTCCTTTGCCTTCACCTGTTGCAGGTAGGCCAGGCATTCCTCCCCGCTCGTCCTCCTGTGGGACTGCAGCTCCTATTCCCCTGCTCGCCATGCCAACCGCCCTCGACCTCTCCGCTCCTTCTGCTCTTCCTCCCCCTGTTCCTCCTGGCTTTCCCGCTCCTGTCACTGCAGCCTCCCCACAGGCGCCTCAGCCTGTCTCCGGATTCCAGTCCCGGCCTTCCCCACTCTGCCTGCAGCTGTTGCCACGTCGCCAGCCGTCGCCCTCCCTGCCATGTGCCCCACTGCAAGCTGCTTCTCCCCAGCAGCCTGCTCTCCGCCTGTCCCTGCCCCTACGCCTGAACACACAGTCACCACCAGCGTCATCCCTGCCACTTCAACGGCCCTCCCCAGCGTCATCCCTGCCATCAGCCCGTGTTTCTCTCCTCTCCCTGCCGCCCACCCTTTCTCTCCCCAGCCCGGCTCTGACTATCCAGCCACGGGCTGCCTCTGTAGCTGCTGCAGCCTCACCAGGGCCTGTCAGCACTGGAAGCTCGCCTGCTCTTGTGCCCAGGGCGCACTCTACTCTGCTGCGCCTGCCAGGTCACTTGGCTGCCTCCCCTCAACCTCAGCGCGTTTGCTCCCCGTGTTGAGCAATCACCGAGATCAGACCTCCCTTTTCCTGCTTCACAAGAGCCGTTTGGAACCTTAATCCCCCTCACTCCCTAACGCTGCCCCATGTACTAGATAACTGGCCTTTGGTGATATGCCTAAGCTACCTCCCGTACGGCTGCTGCAATCTTCCCCGCACTTGAATGCTAGAGCATATGTGCTCGTTACAAACGCACTTTGTGTGTTTGTAGTTGTGCTGCTAGATAATTTTAGAATTAGCTACGCTTGATTTGTGCTAGGTAGAGTGTTGTAGTTTAGGGTTTAGGATGGTAGAGGTGGTGTGCTTGTAGGTAGTGCCTATTGGCTGTGGTATTTCAGGTAGTGTATTAATGGCCGCGTTCTGTAGGCATACGCCGAGGGAGGGAGGAGGGGGGGCGAAGGTAAATGACGAGGGTTCCTAAGCAGTTTCCCCTTCGATATCAAACCCCCCCTGCTACATCCGAAAGTGGGAAATTTCGGATTCTCGGGTGGAAGGTTCTGATACCAATATGATTTAATCCATATGTACCAGTTTGGTTTGGGTTTGTTGCGCCTAGAAAGCTCCATTGTCGGGCGAGCCATGCCCGCGTCCAAAACGACAATTCCGAGGTTGTGGTCCCAGGCACCCAAACCAACAGCACCCCCACACACACCTCCTCCACCCTCGAGCCTGTCCTGTGAAATGAGCTTCCGCTCCGCCGCCGTTCTTTAGCCATGAAGAAATACCTGTCTTTCAGCTATTATCTAGGTTCCCAGCTCGCGTTTCTGTTTGCTCATCGCTCCATCCGCTCCGATGACCTGACGGCTAGTTTTGTTGCATGACATGCATAAACCGGAGCCATCGTGCTCTGCTCGCGCGCGCGTCGTACGGTAGTGATTGCATCTTATCTTAGACTGCGCTCAGGTTTCCAAACTAGGCTGGTGCTCCTTTGTAACTAACAGCACGAATTCACTCTCATAACCATGACGCTTCTTATCAAGCACATCAACAACCCTGTATCCCCGATCTACTAAGCTTTCTAGCCAAACATACACCTTCACCTAATCAGTAGTCATCACTAAACAATTTTCTTCGCCCGTCGTCCACGTGTCATTGACTCGCTCTATTCATAATTTCTACCACCACAACCATCTCCAGCCAGACGGCTTGAAGTCTCTTCACACCTGTTTAGGAGTTGCATCCAACGCTGTACCGCGAAGGCCTTTCTTACACCTGCGCCGTCTCTGTGTCCACATGTGCTCATGCGCTCATGCGTTACGGGTCGAGAAATTCTTAAGGCGCTCGGGAAAGAATTATAGGAGAACTTATGCTCTCATGCGTTAGGACAAGGGAGTGAACTCGCACGTCATATTCCCCACGTTCACTTCTCACACATATTCTCGCTTCTCCGAGATTTTCCCCCCTATGGACCGTTCCTCCGCTCCAGGCGGCGGGAATCAAGCCGCGTATCCTACATGGAACGCTCCAATCGTCCAGCCGGCTCCGTACCCGCCGTACGCTGCTTTCTACCCGCATCCGTCTTATAATCGACTGCCGCAACCTGTCGCTCTCGTGCCGATTCCTGCGGCGCCGTTCGCGCAACAGCCTCCATCGCTCTACCAGCAGCAGCAGTTGGTGCTGCAACAGCAGCTGCACCAGCGGCAGCAGGAGATGCAGCGTCAGGAGATGCAACGTCAGCAGCAGCAGCCGCAGCAGCGGCAGCAGCAGCCCCAGCAGCAGCAGGAGCAGCATCAGAACACGCTAGGGAACGCGGAGGCGTTTCAGAGGCTAATGGAGGCGTTTCCGAGCCTGGGGCATAGCTGCGTAGAGCGCGCGTTCCTGGACGCTAAATACGACGTGAACCTTGCAGCAGCCGTGCTCGCATCGTCGCAAGAACAGCCCGCGAGCGACCTCGCTGCTGCTGCTGCTGGTTCTTCTGGTGACTCTGGTGGCGCTGCTGGCGGCACAGGCGCTGCAACGCAAGGCGGAGCAGCAGTCAAAGACGGCGCAGCAGCGCACCAAGCGCAGGAGCAGGAGCAGGAGCACCGGTGGTGGGAGGAAGCCCCTTTCACTGCAGCAGGGAGGGCAGGGGGGGAGGTAAAGGCGGAGGGGGTGGTGGAGCGGAAAGCTGATCTGCAGGGGAGTGACGCGGTTGGGGAAGATGAGGACGTGTTTGTGTGGGGTGATGGGGGGTGGGAAGCGGTGGACGAGTGCACGAACGAAGCAAGAGGTGGGGGGAATGTGAACTGGCAGGGAGACGCGGAGGGGCAGGAGAAGGGGCGGGGTGACAAGAGAAGGAGTAGGAAGAGCAAGGGAAAGAGCAAAGTGGATGACCTGGGCGATGTGAAATCGGAAGTGGTGGGGAAGGTGAGTCGTGGTGGTGGGGGGTCGAGTGAAGGGGGCAAGGAAACGGCTCAGCGTGACACTAAGAGGAGTAAACTGAAAGCTCCTTCTCCTCAGAAGCCACAGAAGCAGAAGCAGCAGCAAGGAGGGGAGAGGGAGAAGGGTGCTGCAGTGCAAGGGGGGAGTGCGTTAGAGACCCAGGCAGAGCCACTGCGCCAGGCAGAACGCACGCATGCAGTAACTGCTGCCACTCCTGATGACGCCGCTGCCGCCGCCACCACCACCGCTGCCGCCGCTGCTGGTCCTGGTGGTGCTGGTCTGGCAGCAGCGGGTGACTGTGAGGGCGAGGGCGAGGGCGAGGGCGAGGGCGGGGCGAGCAGCATGGAGTACAGCGATATGGTGGATTTCTTCTACTCCATGCTGGGCAGCAATGCATGCATTGAAAAGGACACCATCAGCTACGTCATCTGTCAGTCCCCTCGCCTTGTGATTTCGCCTCGCCTTGTGTTTTGTCTGGCTTTGTGCTCCATCCCGCCTTGTTACTTTTTCAACCCAAATTATTTTTCGCCGTGCCTTGTGGTTCCCTTGACCATGATTTTCCATTTGCACGTTTTTCAAGGTATGCGGGATGGTGGGGCATGTTACCAGAGAGGTGTGCTGTGTGTTGCACAGATCATACTCGCCTTAGTTCTGACGTGTCTTCATGCTCTGTCTCTTCCCTCTTCCCGTTCAATGCGTGTCTTTATGTTGGCATGGCATCTCTGGTGGCATTGTGCGTCTGGCTTGCTGTGCATGCTGTGGAGGGTGGGCTATGGTGATGTGATGGTGGATGCTTGTTCTTGTGTGTTGTGTTTCACGCGGATCATGGCATGTGTGCGAGTTGAGCCTTCTTCACTGCCCTTGGTGCCGGTAAACGCAGCCTACTACAATGGAGACATGTCTCAGGTCATTCCCCATTTCATACCTTTCCGTCTCCCTCGCTCTCCCTCCACCCCTTCACATCTCCAACTCTCCAACCATCTATTTGGCTCTTTCTTGCTCTTCCACTGCACATACCACTCTAGTCCATCCGCGCCCCCCCCCCCCCCCCCCCCGCTCCATGCCCCTGCTCCCACCATCTTTGTTTCAATCAGCCCACATTATTATCCGCTGTTTCTGCTCCTCACTGCCGCCACCACTCTACTTAACACCCCTTGAGACATGTTCACCATAGCTTCAACACTCGTCTTCCTCTTTCTATCCTCTCACTCTCCACTCCCCACCTCCCCTCCTTCCGACTTGCAGAGTCTGGAGGTGCTGTTGGGGCTTGTGGGCGGGCAGGCGGATCAGGGGGGAGGGGAGGGCGGACAGGGAGGGGGAGGGGCAGGGGGGGAAGCGGGGGAAGGCGGGTGGGGGAGAGCGTATGGGGATGTGGAGATGGAGGAGGCAGAGGGATGGTACCCAGGGGAAGATGCTGCTGCTGCTGCTGCTGCTGCTGGGGGTGATGCTGCTGTTGTTGGTGGTTCTGCTCTTGCTGGTGCTGGTGGTGCTGCTAGTGCTGACGGTCAGTTGAGGACTGGTGGTGTGAGTGGGGAACAGCAGCTGCAGCAGCAGCAGCAGCGGCAGAAGAGGTTGGGAGTGGTGCAGATGGATGAGAACATGGAAGATGCATTCCAAGCCAATGCTGCTGCTGCTGATGCAGCTGCTGGGAGTGCAAGGGGCGATGAGCAAAAGCTAGCCACGCTCTGTGACGCCTTCCCTTCCTTTGACCGCGCTGTCGTCGCTGCGTTCTTGGAGGTATGCGGGACACGCATGCACAGCCTTTGCCGCCTCCTCACTCCCTTCACGACCCCCCCACCCCCCCCCCCCCCTCTCTTCCCCCCCCCCCCCTCTCCTTGCTGCTTGTCTCATGCTTCACCACACGTGCCTACATATCACACAAATTCCGCTCCCTCCCTCCGTGCTGCCTTCTATTAAAATAGTTTCTCTTCTCTCCCCACCAATCTTACTGCGCCCTTTCCCGTCCCCATAATACTATCCCCCTGTCTCCTTCTCTCACCCATCCGTCTTGCTCCCGCTACCCTCTCCGTCCATCCCACCCTCGTATATCTTCCAGTCCCTGGATGGCGACATGGATGGAGCAGCAGACGCACTGCTGGCTCAGGAGACAGCAGCAAAGGCCGCCGGCCCCTCTGCCCCTGCTCCCTCCGCTGCTCTTACGACCGCCCCTCCTCCTCCTCCTGCCGCTGGTGCTGCTAGTGGTGGTGCTGCTGCTGCTGAGGTAACAGCAGGCAGGAGTGCACGGCATCGGTCAGGAGAGAAGAAAGAACAGGTGAGAATGGTTGAGATAGGAGGGTTGATGGGTGGGTGCAGGGCGAGGGGATGAAAGGGAGAAAGGTGGGGAGGGGAGGGGGGGGCGAAAGGGGGGTGGGGGAGGTACGCTTGTTATTACCCTCAGAGAAGCTGGTCACTACTGCCTTGCCTTGCATTCACCCTATCTTCCATCCCACCCGCACTCCCCTTCCATCCAGCCAGTGTCCCCCTTTCTTCTTTTCGACCCCATTCCCTCCCACCCTTTTTCCCCTTTCCACCCGTTTACCCTCTTCAACTCCTTTTCCCTCTTCAGTCCCTCCTCCCTCTTCGATCCATTTTCCCCCTCTCGACTCCTTCTCGTCCACCCCTTCCGGTTGTACCCCCACCTTCTCATTTCCCGGCCTTGCCTCCACGCAGGGAGGGGGAGTGGCAGAGAGGGCCGTGTTGGAGCAGCTGCTGCTGCTGTACCCGCGGGTGGACAGCGACTCGCTCCTGCAAGTGCTGCGCGTCTGTGGCGGTTCTCTCAGGTGTGGCGGTTCTCTCAGGTGTGGCGATTCTCTCAGGTGTGGCGATTCTCTCAGGTGTGGCGATTCTCTCAGGTGTGGCGATTCTCTCAGGTGTGGCGATTCTCTCAGGTGTGGCGATTCTCTCAGGTGTGGCAGCTCCTTCACGCGACCTTTTTCTCCTTGGTGTGATTACTCACTTCACTTGTTTGTCCTGCTCATCCATTTCCCAGCCCAATTCTTTATTTCGACTCCAGAATCACCTCCCTCCTCGGTTCCCCTCTCCCCCATTTCTCCCCAGTGACACGTGTGCCTTTCTTGACAGCTCAGAGGTGGCAGCAGAAGCAGAAGCAGCCGCCCGAGGTCCAAGCACCCAGCGCAGCAGGCCACAGGCAGCACAGAGAGCGGGGCAGAGGCGGCAGGAGGAGGTGCCTCTGTGGAAGTGGAGGGCGCAGCACAGAGCTGCAGAACGCGCTGCTGCTGCTGCTGATGGTGGTGGTGGTGCGCGTGTCGGCAGTTATCGTGCTGCTGATGGCGGTGTTGGTGCCGATGGTTATGCTGGTTCTGATGGTTATGGTGCCGCGGATGGTTACGGCTATAGGGGTGAGGGCGTGGCAAGTGCTGTTCAGGCAGATGCTGGTGCTGGTAGCAGGCCTCGTGTGATTGAAGGCGCTGCTGCTGCTGCTGCTGCTCCAGCTGCAGTGGCTGCTCCTGCTGGTGCTACACTAGGGGGCCGTCCCCCCTCTCCCCCCAAGTCCTCCGATTGCTACAAGCGGCATCGCGAGGCGGCATTTGAGAGGAGGAGGATGATGCAGTATTACTTTCGAGAGGTATCTATTTCCAAGAGGAGGGGGGGGGGAGGTTGGGGGGGTGGCGGGAGGAAGTGGGGGTGGGGGGTGGGGTGGGTGGTGGGGGGTGGGAGGAAGAGGAAGCGGATGATGCAGTATTACTTCCGAGAGGTGGGCGTTTCTTGACAAGGTTTCAAAACGGGCCGTGCTTGTGTTTCGGAGAATTCTAACAAGAACCAACACCTTCAATATGATGCAGTGTTACTCGCAAGAATTGCACATCCATGCAACGCCCTCTCCACAACCCTGCTTGCTCAACTCAACATGCCTCTGCCTGTACCTCCCACTTCTCTTCCCCTTGATCCAATTTTGCGCCCAGTCGTCCTTGCCCGCTGCACACCCTCCTCTCCCCCTCCTATCCTGTCCTTCTCTCCCCATCCATCCCTCAACAAACCATGCTTCTCTCCTCTCTCCCCTCCTCCTCCTTCTCCTCCTCCCCTGTCCGTCACCCCTCGCCCGCGTCCGTCCGTTGGTGGCATGGCAGGCCGGTGAGGCGTGGAAGAGAGGGGAGAGGCAGCGAGCAGCAGCCCTTGCAGACAAGGTGGGGTCTGGTCTCTCTGCCCATAAGGTGCAGCGATTCGTAAGAATACTAAGTTGCAGTGCACACATGCTGCATGGTTGATGGAATGGAAGCAGGGCAGGGCCTTCGCTTGTTGCAAAGCAAGACGGGCATGTTTTGCACACAGCAACCCGTGCGTGCATGTCCGGCCAAAACGTGACCCTCCTCCCTTCTGCCATGGCCAACCCCGCGCTCACGGCTCAGACCTTTTGCTGTTCCTTGATTGTGGCTTGTTGGTCAAACCCTCTCTCTTTGACTCCTTCCCTCGGTCCCTCTTTCAGGGTCAGAGGAATATCAAGAGGTCACAGGTTAGAACCTTCCACTGTGGCTTAGCTGTGGCTTCTTGGTCAAACCTTCCCTCTGTGACTCCCTCCCTCCGTCCTCCATCCAGGGTCACGAGTATCGGGAGCAATATCAAGAGCTCATGGAGGAAGCAGGGCAACGTATATTCAGGGAAAAGTAAGCACGCACCCCTGCTGCTCCTGCCCACGTTATCAGCTGTCGTCTTGATGCTTTGTGCATTTGCTTCTCCCATAGCTGATGCCGCTAGCTTGTTCCAAACTCCCAAGTGTGATCATGTGGGTTGATTTTGACCGCATGTGCTTCAGGTGCCTGTGCATGTGCGTGTGCCTGCCCATGCACATGCCTGTGCTGTGCACGGTGCGCACTGCAGCACCTGCAATCGTGTTTGCACACTTTTCTTTTACTGCGTTTGCGTGCCTGTGCCCGTGCCTGTGCCCGTGCCTGTGTGCGCGCAGCAACGAGCGGCTGGGAAACAACATGGATGTGGATCTGCACCACCTGCATGTGGACGAGGCCTTGCAGCACCTGCAGCTGCACCTCACTCTCCTGCAAACCCTGCCCAGTCAGTCCCCCCCCTCCCCGCTTGCCCTTTCCCATGTGCTTTTTGAGTCAACTCAAATCACACCTGCCTAGTCAGTCCCCTCCCTGCTCGCATCGTCCCACGCTCCTCTTCCCTCCTCGCTTCCATCACATCTCATCTACCACTTGCACTACCCAGTAACACTCTCCCCTTGCCTTTCCTCATCACCTTTCCTCGTCATATTGCTCTGCGGCGTACCGACACCCCACACCACCCCTCTCCACCCCTCCATCTCTCCAGTCTCTCTGCATCTGCTCTTCTCACGCCTCTCTCTGGTCCGTTCCCTTCCCAAGCTCGTTCATGCTGTGCCAGGAACCTTCTCCCAGAGACTTGGTGTGTGGGGGGGTGGTGCTTGATGCTGGGGACTGTGACTCGGTGGGTGCTGTCCTATTGTCTGGGATGTGTGTGTGTGTGTGAGGTGTGTGTATGCATGGGTGCTGGGGTGCTGTATGAGTGCTCTGCTGCATGCATGGTGTCTCCTTGCTGGGTGCAGCTCTGAGCAGCATAACGGTCATCACTGGTAGAGGCAAGCACAGCGCTTCTGGGCAAGCCAAAATCAAACCTGCGGTAAGGTTGGGGGAAAGGGAAGGGACGGAGGGGGCGGCGGAGAGTGGGAGGGGTTAACTGCACCGACTCATCTCAAGTCTGGCTTTTTATAATGCTTTGGAAAGAAGGATGGGTAGAAATGTGGCCGTGAGGCACTTGCTGTGTGTCACTTGCGAGCCGATGTCATTATGTACATGGAGCTCTCCATCTTAACCTTCACCTGACCATCCCACTGCTGCCACTGCTCGTGCGTGTCTCTCAGGTGCACCGTTACTTACAGGAGAGAGGAGTGGGGTGGCAAGAGCAGAACGCAGGCAGCATACGCATCACCCGCTACAATCTACCCCCAGATCCTATCCGTAGATGACCACTTGAGTCCATGCACGGCTGTGTGGCTGTTCCTGAGGTGCCTCATCATACCGTAACAGGCTGCATCCGCAAATAACCTGCCTCCCGATCCAATTCAGTAGACCATCACTTTAGTCAGTCCATCCAGATTCAGCCACTTTTCCAGAGTCGAGTCCATCGGATCAAAAGCATTCGCATTACCCGCTACAGCTTTGCCTCAAGATCTGTCGCTAGATGATCATCTCAGCAGGTCCGTGCACATTGCATCAGGGTTGATTCTGAATGAATGGTAGATGGCTTGGGTGGATGGTTGCAGTCACTGACTGCATTGCATCGTTACAAATTAACTGTACCGGTAATCCCTCCTCAGTCTAACCTTTACGTATATCGTCACCCGCTTGTGACTTTTATTGCATCCAGATGCATGTTAAACGTAGATCTTCACTACAATTGTAGCGTGAAAGGGTGGACAGAATTCCATAGCAGGCTGGTAGTTGCTCAGCACCAAAATGTTTATCAATAAAAACACTGGTAGGTAGGTACAAGGAACACAGTCATAGTTGCTCTGTTATCACCACCCCTACATTATCACCAGGGTTGGATACGTCTTGCCTTTCCTGTTTTACTTTGTGGTCATGTATATACAGTAGAAAAAACCTTTGTCTGAACTTGAAGGCTTGCAACAAGACGATCTGCGAAAAAAAAAAAAAAAATCATTCTCCAAGCTCACAGGTATAGGTACACCCCACGCACTACCTAGGTACGGTATTTGAATTAGCTAACACACAAAGAGAGTATCACACCATGGTCACCGTTGAATCCACTCGTTAGCACGAATATTTGTCTGATCCAGGTCAATTCGGATTGACACGGCCTGCGCAGAATCGAGGCGCGCCAGCAAAATTAGTCCCATGAGACATCTGACTGACGCCAGCAATAATATTCAGGTGCAATACACCAGAGGGTACGGTACCCTTCTCACCTTTCCTGTGCGAGGCCTTTCCTTGGTGGCAGCCAGGCCTGCCCTGACCAACCCCACAGCCCCCCAGCACCTCAGGTTCTCTGCAACTCTGTCCAGCCTATACAAGTACTCCTCCTTTGTCAGGGGAAAGGATTTCTGGTAGGTACGTGAAAAGGCAAACACGGGAACGGAAGGGGAAGAAGGGCGAATATCTTACGTGGGAGCCTACTCCCTGGAGGGAGAGAAGGAAGTTGACAGCGAGAAAACAGAAATCGGGTCGGGAAAAGCGAAGGGGAGATAAGGGAGGGATAGAGGTTGAGGCAGGGGTGGAAATGGATTGACGCTGAAATTGAGCTTGAATTGTTTTCACCACAAGGGGCAGCAACGAACCTGCTCTCGATACTTCCACATGACGTTCATGGCAAGCAGTTGACGGCCCAAGAATTCCTGCCAGGAACGTTTAGGGGGGCAAGGCAAGGCAGAACGCGGACGGAGACTTGTGAGAAAGGAAATTCATACTATTGTGCGGCGCTCATGTCAGATGGACATGGCGCTAAAGGGGTGCAGCAAAGAATAGACAAGCGAGATGCACAGGAACCAGCACTCCAGCTAAGATTGTTCAACCACAAAGCAGCGACTCTGCAGGCATTTCTAGAATTGTCGCCTCACCTTTCTGATGAGCTGCATGTCGTACGAGCGGGATTACCTCTGGTAAATCAGCGCCGCCAGCTGCTTGAAATGAGACGAGATTTGAGCCTTCTCGGTACATGAGCGTCTCACCTTGCGAATGAGCTGCACGTCGTACGAGCGCGAGTACTTTTGGTAGATCAGCGCCGCCAGCTGCTTGCCGTCGAAGCTGTCGTCGTCTCGGTTCACGAGGCCCTCCATGCGCTGCCGGAATTCATCGGAATCCGACCCGGAACCCTGGGGTGGGGGATCATCACGAGGACCACGAGGCTGATACAATACACAAGGTACGGAATGTTTCTGCTGCTCGTATCCTGGGAAGTTAATGCGTGCAAGTTCGCACTTAGCAGCGACTACTCATGACAGGGCGGATTCGACGCCCGTAACTGCGAAGCGACAGGTTACCTCGCCACCGTTGGTGCTCCCTTCGCCTGCCTTCGCGTGGCATTTTAGCCTTCGTGAAACGCATCTCGACACCCTTATCGTAGAATTCACCCGAAAATGCCGGCCACTCAAGATGGATGATTGTTGTTGAAGCACCAACCGGCGAGGTATTTGAGAAACGGAACACGGACCGTCCGATCCGGAAAGGCATCTGTTTAACGAGCCTGGCGAGGCAAATCCTACGGCACTTCGCACTGTATTCCTGCAATTTACAGGCTCCACATGAAGGGAGCTGGCAAGAGGAACTACGCTGGAGCCTACTACGGCTTCCATAGCGGAAAACAGACGGATTATCACACCCGCGAGGTAATTGAATCCAACAATCCGTGCACTCCGCGAAAATAGTTGCGGTGAGAAACCACTATTTCCAGAACCGCGCTCTGGCGTGAATCGTGTAGGAGCGCTGTGAGTGACGAGGAGCAGTCAGGAGGAGTTAGCTTGAAGCTGGGTGGGTGTATGCATGATGCACACGGGCAGGCAGCACAGCACAGCACAGCCCCTGTGTGTGTGTGTCTTCGTTTCGTCTCGCCTCGCCTCTCGTCGCGCCATTCGGTGGGTGTGGCATGCTGTGATTCGCCCACACAGCATCTCCGTGTCATGCCCGTGATCTCCCTGTGCTGTCTCCTCTTTCATTCCCTCTCCTCCCCCAGTGCCCATTCGCTGGAATTCTGTATCGTATTTCCACATGCCCAGATTCATCAGTCACTACACTCGAGATTGCATTCCCACATTTCCTAGCGAGTGTGACTGCATCGAGCTGCAGCGAAACGAGAGGCGCTAGTATTGGCGACGTCAGACTTGCAAACGCGGTACTGGAATCACGTGCTGCCGCGTGGAATGTGAATAGAGGACACGTGGAGGCGAATAGTTAGCTCAAGATAGCTTGGCGCGCAAGTCTCTTATGAGAAACCTGTGTTCCGTTTGCGGGGAGGGGTGTAGATTATCTATATACCTATAGTAGGAATAATTGAATTCGTCTGACCAACATATGAACTGAAATTTGCTCATTTTCTGAATGGATGTACCGTATTGTTCTAAAAGGTACCTTTCCAACCATTCCTCTGCTGCTGTTATCGGTACCTTTCGAACAACAACATGGACACCCTGAACACTGTTAGCTAGAAGCTCAGCACACAGCTGCTACTACCGTACATGTTGCAGGTTCGACATGTGTCTAACTTGATAGTATGATGGTCACCTGAGTTTTTGGCCACGGTAAAAGCTACTAAGATGATGAATTCTTAGGAACTGGCCATAAAAGGAAGATCGGCAGGTCGTTATCCATTGCAGTGGAACCCTCGAATCTGTCAAATGCAAGACTCTGGTACATGAGCATCACTACAAGCAAGCCTAGGAAAAACAATTCCACATAAAAGAAGGAACGGAATTGAGATGACGCTTTTCGAACACATAACAAAGCTCCAAGAGACGCTTCACGAACTTGTGGCAGACCGCAAGCAGCTCAATCTTTTACTTGTCTATGACAACAGGTTCCACGAGAAACGATGTATGAAGAAACATCAAGCTAACGCCACTGCAGGAGGCGGGAGAGGAGTTTTCATACAGACGGCATCACCAGCATCGGGTGCCATAGTCACGCAAACAAAAGCTTGAAGAATATCGTAACGATGTTGGCAGCAATCAATGGCACTGCGAGAAGCCAAAGAATGTTTAGGAAGAGGATGGAGTTTTAGGATAAACGGAAGGTCCTGCGACTGCAGAAGAAAACCATGACAGTAATACAAATAAAATTGGCTACATGGCTCCAATGCTTGTGAATGTCCTTTCATACCCCGTAAATACTGAACCGCGTGTATCAGTCCGACCACTTGCACCTTGAGCGGCGCCGTTTGTCCATTCGAGAGTTGATGGAAACCTAACCCATCTGCAGACGGAAAAGGGAGCTTAGACCAGTAATAATCCCAAGCATCAGCCGAACGCTAGAGATGGATTACATGGTACAAGAAACCGCTGCTCGTTTAAAACAGCGAGAGAGTTGGCGAGCAGAAGCACAGCGTAGAGAAAGTCCCACATGACTGTCAACCTCGAAGGACAGCTAACCTCTAACTGGTAAGTAGCTCTGTGTGATGCTCAAAATGGTTCTGAAGTTGGACATGAGGTGGGTGGGTAACAGACATCCAGGTCTGCCATTCCACCAGATGTGTTTGCACCAGAGAGGCCCCTTCAAAGTCCTGGGCAACCCATGGCGCGCAGTATGAAAGTGGATCTGGGATGGAACGCGGGAGAGTCTGACTTCTGGAAGGTGTAACCATCATTTGCAACATCAGCGAATTGTGCGTACTGCCCACATTTGTGCGTGTTACTGTCGTCAAAATTTGTTCGCACAACTCGGCTACCAAGTTTGGTGGCTGGATCACATCCATCCCAAATCTCAAAAGGTTTCTTTCTTTTACTCTCTCCAACTCAGGTCTTGAATCTGTAGTTCAGTAGGTTTCGCCTAACTCTCAGTGCCTTCGGGCTCGTGTCACCATGTCTCTCCGACCGAATGCTCGCACGGAGGCGAGAAAGTCTGCTTACAAGCAAGCTGTTAACGCTGATGAGGCTCGCAGGCGTCGCGAGGACAATATGGTCGAGATCCGTAAGAGCAAGAGGGAGGAGAGCCTCCTGAAGAAGCGCAAGGAAGGAATGCAGGCTCAAGTAGAGCTGCCTAAAATTCCTGTCGCAACTGTCGAGAAGAAGGTGCGCTCTGTTCCGCTCCCACAGCTATTCGCGTTTTCGTTTTCTTTGCAGTATTGTGAATGTCTTGCCTGCTTCTGTGTTGTTAGTTGGAGAGCCTTCCGGCTATGGTACAAGGCGTATGGTCAGAAGATCCACCGGCTCAGTTGGAAGCAACGACGCAGTTTAGGAAGCTGCTTTCGATCGGTATGTTCCTTAAGCTTGTTGTGCCATTCAAGCTCATTACAACCTGATCTGACGGCCGATCTCTTTGTTCACAGAACGTAGTCCTCCGATCGAAGAGGTCATAAAGGCTGGCGTTGTGCCCAGATTCACGCAGTTTTTGCAGAAGTATGACTTCCCTCAACTCCAGGTTAGTTTTCTAGACTGGATCTTGCATTTTGTGCGCAGTTACTTAATTTACCCGATATCTGACTTAATCTTCTAATCTGCAGTTTGAAGCAGCGTGGGCTTTGACCAACATCGCTTCTGGTACCTCTGACCACACCCGCGTGGTCATCGAGCATGGGGCAGTCCCTATATTCGTTCAGCTTCTCAGCTCTCCCAGTGATGACGTCCGCGAGCAGGTTAGGTTCTAAAGAATTCAGTCAGGATAGCTGTATTGAGTGTGCGTGCTGGCACTGACAAGCAAAGTCTGATTTGCAGGCTGTATGGGCACTCGGTAACATCGCAGGCGACTCGCCCAAGTGCCGGGATCTTGTTCTGAGCCACAACGCCATGGGTCCGCTGCTTGCTCAGTTGAACGAAAACTCGAAGCTGTCAATGCTCCGGAATGCTACCTGGACGTTGTCGAACTTCTGCCGTGGAAAGCCCCAGCCTCCATTTGAGCAGGTACATAGCTTGGTTTTTCTCGTCCACCTATTTTGACGTTTCTCTGGCGTTCTAACATTTCAATTTTCTGTCTTGCAGTCGAAGCCCGCTTTGCCGGTCCTCGAACGCCTGATCCACTCCACGGATGAGGAGGTTTTGACTGATGCTTGCTGGGCGCTGTCCTACTTGTCCGACGGAACTAACGACAAGATTCAGGCTGTCATTGAGGCGAATGTTTGTCGGCGGTTGGTCGAGTTGCTTCTGTAAGTTAAACCCTGATCATCATCATTCTGGTTTTTATGATTTCTCCTTGTGAAATTAACCGAGCTTTCTCTGGGGTTTCCAGGCACCCATCGCCATCCGTTTTGATCCCTGCTCTTCGAACAGTTGGTAACATTGTCACAGGAGATGATCATCAGACGCAGGTACGGGTTGACGGAATTCAGTGGCTGAAGTCTTTTAAGTAGGATACCGTTTTAACTCATTCCTGTTTGCTTTCAGGTCATTATTGAGAACCAAGTGCTGCCATGCCTGCTTGCCCTGCTCACAACAAACCACAAGAAAAGCATCAAGAAGGAAGCGTGCTGGACAATATCTAACATCACTGCTGGCAACAAGGAACAGATTCAGGTAAACTATCAGCCCCGTTCATCCTCCACTTACGCTTTTGCTGCTTCCGTATCAATCGAGAATGTGTCCTATTGTATGTGTAAAAACTTACATCCACTGTTCTCATCTTCGTTCAGGCTGTTATTGATGCCAACATCATTCCTCCATTGAAGCACCTGCTGGAGACTGCTGAATTTGATATCAAGAAGGAAGCGGCATGGGCTATTTCAAATGCTACTTCTGGTGGCACTCATGATCAGATCAGGTATGGCATTGAATGATTCGACGTTGCTGGTTATCTGTGTCTAGCTTCTCACTTGAATGTTTGTGCCCTTTCCAGGTACCTCGTGTCCCAGGGCTGCATTAAGCCACTTTGCGATCTGCTGCTCACTTCTGACGCAAGGATTGTGACAGTTGCCTTGGAAGGTTTGGAGAACATTCTGAAGGTTGGAGAGGCAGGCAAGGAGCTGGGTCAGACTGGAGGTGTGAACCTTTATGCTCAGTACATTGATGAGGCTGAGGGTTTGGAGAAGATAGAGAATCTGCAGACTCATCAGAACAATGACATCTACGAGAAGGCGGTGAAGATTTTGGAGACCTACTTTGGGCTGGATGAGGATGAGGACCAACAACTTGCACCTCAAGTTGACGCCAACCAGCAAACCTATGCTTTTGGAGAAAGCCAGCCTATGGCTCCCACTGGTGGATTCAACTTTGGTTGAGTCGTTTTTACTGAAGTAAGTTATTTGTCTAATGGGTTCGTGTTCAGTTATCCTTGGTGATTTACCGTATGACATCAGTGTGCATGCGTCTGTCATCCTCTTGTGGATTTTCTTTATGCAGGATTGTGGTTGAACAATGGGTGATATCACATGGTTTTCCTGGTTCTGGACATCATGATTCACCTGCAGCATCTCCCTACTTTTGAACGTGTCTTAGTTTTTGGTCATGACTACAGGTGCATTATTTGCACGAATCTTGGTGTCTGGAGTCCTTTTTTGTGACCTTTGGTTAGAGTTAGCAGTCAAGTTATTCAACCATTTTGCACATGATCTCATGCTAGGTTAACATTCCGTTGTATGAATGCATTCCTGGATCATAAATGTGAAATCAACTGAAGGATGAATTACCAAATATTACAGTGTGCCTGCAAGCTTCAACGATGGATTCATTGTTTGTATTGCGCAATGATTAGGTGTTTCTTTCTTGTAATCAGTGTGTTGTGATGTGTCTGTTCTTTGAACCAGAGAGAGGCTGTGGACATGCAAGAATCTGACGATGGAGACGTGTTTGAAACTCCACGTGGCACACTTTCCCCAACTTTGTATCCCACCATGCTCGAACCGCATAACATCCAACTCAACGAGTGAATGTTGGACTCTCTTTCGAACCGCATGTCAACGAAGTTCACAATGAAATTCACCAGGATGCGCAAATCCAACCCACTAGTCACCCACATAGAGCTCTCTGCCTCCAGTCATTCTGCTGCTGAGAAATTTCCACACCGCAGTCTCTCACCAGTCCTGCTCGTCACGCTGGCGTCCGCCGCCTCCCTGGCCTCTTTCGCCACTCGTGGGCTGTTCTCCGCCACAGCGCGCAACCGTCGTGCTTCGTCCCTGTCCAGGGGCCGTGATTGGGGCGAGTCCAGGGTATCTTACTTCCGCCAGCGCTTCCACTCGCAACGCCTCACCATGGCGTCCGCCCAGCAGTACAGCGCGGAGGAGATTCACAAGATGTCGGACCAGGAGAAGCAGGTGAAAGCGGCGCGACGCGGCGTTTCGTCTGTTTATCAACCGTTTTTTGTTTTCGCTTTGATTCGCCCTCCTGCATCTACTGAGATTATCTCTGTGCCACTTACAAAATGGTTTTTGATGTTCCGTGTTGTGCAGGATTTGGACCGTCGCGTGCAGGAAGGGGAGACGGTGGTGAAGGGCGGAACTGGAGGCAAGTCACTGGAGGCCCAGCTTCACCTGGCTGAAGGTAGAGTATTATCTTTCGTTGGGCTTCTCAAAGCCGCCCACTGACGGCCTGTTAGTGGAGCTGATATCACCTCCGCTCGCCTGTCCCGTCGAGTTCCTAAAAAACGTTGTGGTGAGCAGGAGGCACCGCTGCTCTACTGTTTTCTTCTTTAGATCATACCTGGCTTTCATCCATTCGTCCTTTCGCGTCGCTGTTTCACGGATGGCTCACGTCGTGCGTGCGTGCGCACGTGCGTGAGCAGGCCGCCATAAGGGAGGCGAGAGGGGCGGACAGGCGCGCGCGGAGCAGATCGGCAGCGAGGGGTACCAGGAGATGGGGCGCAAGGGCGGGCTGTCCACCACGGAGCAATCCGGCGGAGAGGCTGCGGCCGAGAAGGGTATTGACATTGACGACTCTAAGTACCGTACTACTAAGTAGTGCCATTCAATGCTTTTCTAAGCCTTTTTCCTCAAGTGACGTGGTTGCGTTGGCCTTACTTGTTGAGATGGGTTGCTTTTGCTGGGCGGTTCAGGGGTTTGGATCAATGGAATGGAGATGATACGGTGGTTGTGAACTGGGACTTAGCCTAGTAGTGGCGTCTAGTGATCCTTGAGCAGTGCGTGTAGCTACTGGTATCTGGCTCTGTTGTATGGATTCAATACATGTACATATCAAGAGTTCTTGCGTCGTTCACATAAAGAGTGTACCCTCTCTTCTGTCCACCACTTGAGCAGGGCATGGGTCACATGAGGGGGGCCATGCGACTGCAGGAGGGGGTGCGCAGTCCGCTGCAGCAAAGCACCAGTACTCGTACGAGGAAGTGAACAAGATGCCTGCAGACCAGCGCAAGGTGAGATGTTTCTTGCTCAGTGCCTGGAGATGGTTGTGGATAGTACAAGAGTGGTGATCGCTGCTCAACATCATTTGCTCCGCTTTCCATGCCTTGCAGTAAGGTTTTATTTTAGTGCGTTCTAACTCGTTCCAACCCTCCCACACACCACTTTTTCGTATTGCTCTAGTATGCGATGCACCCCTCGCTGATGTGCGGCCTTTGCTCTTGATGTCTTACTTACTATCCCTTGCTCGACTGTGCTCGACTGTCCATTGGTGGGAGTATCAGGAGCTGGAGAAGCGTGCAGAGGCAGGAGAGACAGTGGTGAAGGGGGGAACTGGGGGCAAGTCCCTTGATGCCCAGCTGCACCTGGCCGAAGGTGAGATCATGACACATGTGATTCTCTAATTACCGTACCTTGTTACTTGTGTTCTAGGGTTCATAATGATCTGGCTGTTGGGTGAGCCAAGCCAGCGGCTGCTCTTACCTTACTGCTGCTAACTCTATGGGGTCATCTGCTGGCATCCCTGCAGGACGTCATCGTGGTGGGGAGAGTCGCAGGCACAGGTAATCGGCACAGATGAATCAGGTGAATCACACGGATGGATGGATCATCCCACCCACCACCCACCTGCTGTCTAGTAGTCAGCGTCCTCCCATCCTCTCGTGCTTCGGCCATGGCTTAAGACAGATCGCTCTGTTGTTGCCGTGTAAATAGTTGACAGCAGCTGTAAATATTAGGGTAGGTCTGTAGAGCCAGATAGAAGGGGAATCACACGGAACTAGAGGATTTTTTTTTCTGCTAAATCTGGAGAGAATCTGTGTCATAATTGGCTGTAGCATAATGTAGAGAAATTAGAGATATCAGAGTGAAGAATGTACATGCATACACGTGAACCTCCAGTCCGCCGACATGCTACCATGCTTTTGCGGCTGTAGCAGTTGGGGTAAGGGAAGAGGAGGAAGTACCTGGATTCGCGCATACGCTGCATTTCCACCCTGACCGCGCTGTACTAGCGCACTGCAGGAGGGGTAAGGGAAAGTTGAACAAAGGGGGATGGTAAAAAAGGGTGACGAAGGAGGAAAGGGGGAAGAGAAGAAGGGGAGAGGAAGGAAGAAGAATGGAAAACGGAAAAAACGGCAAAAATAAAGCTCAACGAAGGAGGGGTATGGGAGAGGAAAGAAGGATCGGACTGCTGCTCTCCTCCCCAACTCTCCTCAAGGGCGGTGCAGGCATGTTGCAGCACGGTGCGGTGTGGACGTTGTACCGAAACACATGCGACGCTTCGGCCTAGGCTGCCCGTGATCTCTGCTGGCAGCGATGGCGATGGAATGATCTTTTAGACCTGCTGTGCATTGCGCAGCATGCGGCCGAGCGAGAATGATCCTCGTTGAGGTCTTACTACTACTAACAGGCTCGGAATCTTGCCAAGCTAGACATTTCGCCGGCCCTGGCAGATTCCCTCGCAGCAGGCGGCAGGCGAATCTACATTTCACCCCCCGCGCTTCGGGATGCGCACAGTGGAACGCTGGAATGCGAATGAGGTGATACCACCCGCAGTGGCGCGCAGAATCTAATAATGTAGTATCCAACCACCCCTAGATAGTCTCCGCCTAATTCGCTCCATCCCCTAATTCGCCCCTCCGCACCGCCCCATGCCTCGCACGCCTCTCCGCGCGTGTGGATGCGCGCCACCCTCTCCGCATACACACTCGTGGCGGTTGTTTCCCCGTGCAGCAGCCCCCGCAGCAGCTGGCAACCAATACAAGGGCGGAACCTGCACACAGGACCTGGCGGAATGTGCGCGGTCGATCGGGGAACGGACCGGGGCTGACGGTAAGGAGAGGTTAATCTCAGGAACGGCCAGGATCTGAAACTTGGATCTGGCGACCACCCCAAGGATGTTCAGTGTTCGACAAGTGCTGATTCGGTTTGCACAAGGATTGTGTAGGTGCTGCATTTTTTACATTCGGTGGTTCTACTTCTAAACTGAACAAACAAATGAGTCAGACCCCTTGCAATGGTCCAATGTACTTTTCTTTCTTTCTTGCGTGCATAAAAGGTTAGAGAAACTGGCTTACCCAACTGGTAAAATGAAATCATCGGAATAGTAATCTGTAGGTTCACATTTTGTATCCTTATAGTTTTGAATGAAGTGATTTATTGAGCTGTAACACACACAGCCGTCTTCCTTTCGTGAGGTAGCCCTTAACATGGATGGAGTAATGGCGTCACGTCATAGAATGGCAGACAAGTCGTAATAATGTGGCTCTCAATGGAGTTCCAGGAGCATGCGAAATATCACTGTTCGGGTGCTGTCATACAGGTTTGTCGGAGTGGAGATTTGCAATCCTCAATTTGTGGTTCCAAAGTCGCTGCCTCACACATGCTGTACTCATTGTTATCCAACGAGCTGGAGATGTTGACCACCAATTTCTCCATCGTTGGTACAGAATTCAAACACCTTTGATTGTGTTCCATTTTCTTTGGAAAATATGAGGCTTTGCGTGGCTGATATGGTACGCATGTCTCCGAATTGGATGCCAATGATGGAAGGCGCTTCCGGAAAGCGGAAGAAGCAAAAATTATGGATTGATTAAAAAACTTGGCCAACCTCCCCTTGTCGCTTGCGCCTGTATATATCGTTTCTAGTATGCCTTTGTCTATGTGGCGTGCAACCACAGAATGTTCCCCTGGAGATTATCACTTGCCTACAGTAGGTATTCTGGCAGGACACGACGGTCAGTTTCACTTCCAGACCCGTAAAAAAACCACACGCTTGGGTCTTCTCCACCAGAGAGATGCCTTGCGAACAGAACAGCTATGATATCGAGATTTCAAATGCCCCAAGAGAATTTAGATATGTACATAAGAATGACCACTGTGGTTGGCTTCCAGCCTACACACACTGCATTTCCGTCCCAATGCCTTGTTTCCATTGCGAAAGGGTCGAAAGCCACTGTCACGGGCTCATGAGTGTGGCTGAGTCTCAAACAGGTACAGGTAATGATGCTGTTTGGGAGGATGATTTTTTGAATCGCTTTGCGTTTTGACAGCTTCTTGTTGGCTGGCACTCCTGGGCACACTTTTCCACTTCCAACCTTTTTAACAGAAGGTGTATTTAACACAATATGCTGCTCAGTGCAGTCGATACATGTATAAACTGGTACAGTTCGGCATTTGGAATGCAGCTCCTTTCCAGCCAGACCGGGAAAGGGGAAACCGCGAGGCAGAGGCAGCCACATGGAATGCCGACAAAAAGACGCGGTGCGGGAATTCTGCCTGTCTCTGCCAATGCCAACCAATTTCAAATTTCCATCTCGCAAAAACCGCTTCCCTTCCTCCTCGCAGAGTCCCCTCCCTCCCCTCGCTCTTCCGCTGTCGTCATCTCCCCCCACAGATATGGCCCACCCTCCACCACCCTCCAGCATCCCTTCTCATGCTATTTTCTGCTCTCCGATGCTCTTTTGTGATTCAGGATCCGTTGTCCACTCACACTGCACCTAGCCACAGCAGCTTTTATGTTTCGCCGTTAATTTCCCCGTAGTACTGTGTTCCCTGCTTTCTGCCCTCGTCCCTTGTTCACTTCACATCCTCTGCTAGCTCCACTTATCGCGCAACCCACTGAAATCTGGACAATCCGAAGCTCCAACCCGCCTCTTCGTCCCATTCACCTCCGTACGACGAAGCCGCGCATTCGTTGAAATCAACCAGCTTCATTTCCCCACACGACAGCTCACTATTGAGACTAGCAACCACTGCACCGGTGGCGAGGTCGGGTTTTTACTCTCTTCGGCGTCGCCATGGAGAGCGGCTCGCTCCTCGCCATTATATCATCTCCCACTCTCGTGATGTCTCCGCCCATTCCCACCAAGGCCTCGGCAGTCTCCCTCGCGGCAAATCACCACCATCGCTCCGCTTCCGGCGCTCCTAACGCGAAGCGCCAGCGCTGCTCGGATGGAGGCGTCGCTGCGGAGGCGTCGCCGGAGAAGGCGGCGGATATATCGCGACCGAAGTCTTGCTTTATAATGCTCGAGGAGGACGGGGACGATGAGATAACTGCTGCGGATATTGCGTGGTGCGACGACGGAAGCTACGTGGAAATAGACACTGACGCGCTTTTCGCTCTTGACGAAGAACCGTCGGCGAAGACTCGGAGCGCTCACGACAGCGAGCAGCTGTCGGAAGAGCTGTCGCAGGAGAACCGCGGGGCGTCGCATGCGTCGCACGCGTCGCATGAGCGGCATGGGAATGCCGGGAGTGGCAGCAGCTGCGAGAGCGGCGAGACGCTGAGCGAGAAGCAGAACAAGGGCGGCGAGGAGGGATCCGCGAAGAGGACGAGCAAGGAAGGGCGCAGCAAACGCAAAGTCAAGGTGAGGGAAACCGGAGCCAGTAGCAAGGAAGTAAGGTCTAGAGCATCCAGTCATTTGAGCATGAACAGAAACACGTTTGATCAGACGTCCATCCTCTTTCGAACCTCAACTTGCCCCCATGTTTCACATCGGGCCGATTAGACCCGGTCGCACCAGCATCGCATTCATACCGCCACGACCACAATGGCCACGCCTAACCTTCTCACCACCATTCCCCCTCCCTTACGTTCTCTGTGTCTTCCCTCCCCTGGCCTCGCATCACCTGCGGCTCGGAATGGCAGGTGGACTGGACTCCTTCCCTGCATCGCAAGTTCGTGCAGGCGGTCGAGGCGCTCGGCGTCGAGCGCGCGATCCCGTCGCGCATTCTCGAGCTCATGGGCGACGCGGCTCTCACGCGCCACAACATCGCCAGCCACCTTCAGAAGTACCGCTCGCACCGCCGCCATTTGCTCGCCAAGGAGGCGGAAGCCGCCACCCTGCACGCGCGCGCGCCCGCGCACGCGCCGCCCCCCGACCCCAGCTCCTGGACTCCGCTCCGCCGAGACGGCACCGCGTGGGTGCCCGCGAGCGTCGCGTCGAGCGTTCTCAGTCCGCGGAGTTCCTCCGCTTCCGCTAACGCGTCCGCGTGCGCGGCCTCCGCCATCGCCGCAGGTTCGTCCGCCAGCGGCGCGGCCAGCGCGGCGGGTTCCGCAGCGGCAGCCGCCACGTCGCCAGTCGGTATTCCCGCTGCCGCGACGGCAGTGGGGATCCCCCCTGCGCACGCGGGCGCAATGGCGGCGGGGCACGCGGGTATAATGTCCCCGCGAGGCAACGTAGCTGTGGGGTTCCCGCCGACGTTCCCCCAGTCCTCCGCCGCGCACGCGGGAATGGCTGCGCACCTCGCTGGCGCGGGGGTTGGCGGAACGGCCTCCGGAATGCTCCCTGGCGGAGGGCGCGTTGTCATTGGGCGACCCGTCACTGGCGCATGCGGCCCGCGCTCCCTCCTCCGCGTGATGCCTTCCGCCAATGGCGCGCCCGCCTCCGCTGCCACCGCCGGAACCCCGGGGATGAGCGGAACGATGCTGGGCATGCCGCTGCACCTCTGGGGACGATCCCCCGCGCGCGCGGAGCAAGCCAACGCGAGCGCGCGCGGATGGGGGAGCCTTCAAACAGGAGTACCCGCGCACGGCTCCGCGGGTGGCGCTGGGGGAAGCGGAACCGTCATGATGGCGGGAGCCCCGTCGAGCGGCGCATGGTACGGGAATGGCGGCATGGGCGGCGGCGCTCCCGCGGGTTACCACCAAGGGTACATGCATCCACAGGCGCAGCAGGCGCAGCAGGGGTATCTCATGGGCATGCATGTGGACGCATGGGGTCGACCCATGGCTACCATGCCCCAGCAACACCAGCAGCAACATCCACAGTACCAGCAGCAGCATCACTCCCATGTGCCAGCATCTCCGTACATGGCCTCGTCCTCCTCTTATGGCATGCCGTATCACATGAGCTACCCCATGCCTTCACCTGATGCTGCTGCTGCGTCTGCTTCTGCTGCTGCTGGTCCGTATTCCAGCGCCATGCTGGTTTACCCTGGAGCAGCAGTCGGGGGTCAGCACCAGCAGCACCAGCAGCAATTCCAGCATCACGCTGCGGCGCCATTCGCATGCTCGTCACCCTGCTCCTCGCTGGGGTCGCTGCCAGGGTTCCCTGCGGCCAGCAGCAGCACCGCCACCACCTCGCACTCTGCACGCACCTGCTCTGATGCCAGCCCTGCTGCTGCTCCTGCTGCTCCAGCACCTGCAGCGGCAGCGCCAGAAGTGGCAGCAACAGCAGCGGCGGCCGCGGCGGGAGGTCTGGCAGAAGCGGCAGCAGGTGATTTTCGTGCTGCTGCTGTTGCTGAGGATGCTGGCAGTGCTGGTGATAGCAAGGGCGTGTTGCCGACGCCCGGTGCTGATGCTTGCGGTTGTGATGCGAGTGACGCGGCCACGAAAGCAGAAGATTGTGATCAGCAGCAGCATCAGCAGCAGCAGCAGCAGCAGCAGCAGCAGCAGCAGCAGCAGCAGCAGCAGCAGCAGCAGCAGCAGCAGCAGCAGCAGCAGCAGCAGCAGCAGCAGCAGCAGCAGCAGCAGCAGCAGGCAAAGGAGGAGGAGGAAGAGCAGCAGGAGCAAGTCCAGCAGGTGAAGCAGGAGCAGGGAGTAGTAGAAGAAGAGGAAGAGGATCCCGAGGCCTTATTCGCCGACTCTCTATTCCACGACCACGACGACCTCTCACTGCTGCTGCACATGCCCTCCTCGCCCGCGCACGACCCTAACAGCACCACCGACGCTCTCGACCTGCTCAACCACTTCCCCTCCTCTGCTGCCGATGCTAGCGCTGCCATGGGCCTGGGCTCTCGTTCGGGCACAGGCATGGGCATGGTGGGCATGGGGATGAGCATGGGCATGGGTGTGGGCATGGGTATGGGTATGAGTATGGATGCAGCGTTGAGCCACCTGATGTGGTCTGAAGGGTACATGGCGGGGAACCCTGACGGCATGGAGAGTGATGATGATGAGCTTCTAGAGTGCAAGCCACTCAACCCTGTCTGCCTCAAGCCCATCGCGCCACCACCACCCACGCGACCCACTCCTGTGCTGTAACTTAACTTCCCCTCGTCCTCCTCCCGCTGCCACGACAAAGCCCTTACCTGCACTGCTGTATAGACCTCTGCTGCAGGTTGGCTCCTCTTTGTGTCTCTCTGCCTCACTGCCTTGCTGCCTTGCATTCCCTGCCTCATGCTTGAGGCGGGGTAGTACGGTACTCATGTCGCTTTGCTTGTAGACTAGTAGCTCTTGGCATTAGGCACAAGCCTTACAAATCAGTAGTAAATGCTTTTACAAAATGCTGTCACAAAATGGCAATCGAAGCATTTGGTTCCGAGAACTTCAGCACAAAATGCTATACACTAGAATTCCACACTGTTACTCGCTCAATAGCTGTATTCTGACAGTAAAAGGGTAAGTTCTTGGCTGGTGTAAGGCTCGCTGACACAAGGCTAATGGGCGATATCGATCAGTCCACGTCATCATCGTCAAACTCTACCAAAATCCAAACCTTTCAAAGCTTGGTGTCAAGATTCTAGACACCAGCCAAGAACGTACCCTAAGCTTATGACAGAACTGTCCAAGGCAATCATGGAGTAAGCGATTCGCAAGCGTGTGTCGAGTCGACCACTGGCTCTCCACCAACCCGACCCACCCAGCAATAAATACCCCAATTTCCTGGCACTGCCACTACTACTGCAGTGTTATACCGAAACTGTCCCAAGTTGCTGGCACTGCCAATACTACTGCAGTGTTATACCGAAACTGTCCCAAGTTGCTGGCACTGCCACTACTACTGCAGTGTTCCAATGTCCCAAGATCCTACCACTGCCCATACCACTGCAGTGTTATAAGAGCTCGCCATGAGGTCAACAGCTCGGAAATGGAGGAGCAAAGCGAAGAGCGGGTTACGGAAAGGGATATATACTTTACCATGATGGTAGCGATGGCACAGGCGTGATACAGCATGCCTGCATCTGCATCCACCGCTCTGCTGGACGGTCGCCTGTTCTACAGGAGATGCATGGGGGAGGGAACTGAGGGAGGGAACTGAGGGAGGGAACTGAGGGAGGGAACTGAGGGAGGGAACTGAGGGAGGGAACTGAGGGAGGGAACTGAGGGAGGGAACTGAGGGAAGGAACTGAGGGAGGGAACTGAGGGAAGGAACTGAGGGAAGGAACTGAGGGAGGGAACTGAGGGAGGGAACTGAGGGAGGGAACTGAGGGAGGGAACTGAGGGAGGGAACTGAGGGAGGGAACTGAGGGAAGGAACTGAGGGAAGGAACTGAGGGAGGGAACTGAGGGAGGGAACCGAGGGAAGGAACCGAGGGAGGGAACCGAGGGAAGGAACCGAGGGAGGGAACCGAGGGAAGGAACTGAGGGAGGGAACTGAGGGAAGGAACTGAGGGAAGGAACTGAGGGAAGGAACTGAGGGAAGGAACTGAGGGACTGAGGGAGGGAACTGAGGGAGGGAACTGAGGGAGGGAACTGAGGGAGGGAACTGAGGGAGGGAACTGAGGGAGGGAACTGAGGGAGGGAACTGAGGGAGGGAACTGAGGGAGGGAACTGAGGGAGGGAACTGAGGGAGGGAACTGCGGGAGGGAGCTGCGGGAGGGAACTGAGGGAGGGAACTGAGGGAGGGAACTGAGGGAGGGAACTGAGGGAGGGAACTGAGGGAGGGAACTGAGGGAGGGAACTGAGGGAGGGAACTGAGGGAGGGAACTGAGGGAGGGAACTGAGGGAGGGAACTGAGGGAGGGAACTGAGGGAGGGAACTGAGGGAGGGAACTGAGGGAGGGAACTGAGGGAGGGAACTGAGGGAGGGAACTGAGGGAGGGAACTGAGGGAGGGAACTGAGGGAGGGAACTGAGGGAGGGAACTGAGGGAGGGAACTGAGGGAGGGAACTGAGGGAAGGAACTGAGGGAGGGAACTGAGGGAGGGAACTGAGGGAGGGAACTGAGGGAGGGAACTGAGGGAAGGAACTGAGGGAGGGAACTGAGGGAGGGAACTGAGGGAGGGAACTGAGGGAGGGAACTGAGGGAGGGAACTGAGGGAGGGAACTGAGGGAGGGAACTGAGGGAGGGAACTGAGGGAGGGAACTGAGGGAGGGAACTGAGGGAGGGAACTGAGGGAGGGAACTGAGGGAGGGAACTGAGGGAGGGAACTGAGGGAGGGAACTGAGGGAGGGAACTGAGGGAGGGAACTGAGGGAGGGAACTGAGGGAGGGAACTGAGGGAGGGAACTGAGGGAGGGAACTGAGGGAGGGAACTGAGGGAGGGAACTGAGGGAGGGAACTGAGGGAGGGAACTGAGGGAGGGACTGAGGGAGGGAACTGAGGGAGGGAACTGAGGGAGGGAACTGAGGGAGGGAACTGAGGGAGGGAACTGAGGGAGGGAACTGAGGGAGGGAACTGAGGGAGGGAACTGAGGGAGGGAACTGAGGGAGGGAACTGAGGGAGGGAACTGAGGGAGGGAACTGAGGGAGGGAACTGAGGGAGGGAACTGAGGGAGGGAACTGAGGGAGGGAACTGAGGGAGGGAACTGAGGGAGGGAACTGAGGGAGGGAACTGAGGGAGGGAACTGAGGGAGGGAACTGAGGGAGGGAACTGAGGGAGGGAACTGAGGGAGGGAACTGAGGGAGGGAACTGAGGGAGGGAACTGAGGGAGGGAACTGAGGGAGGGAACTGAGGGAGGGAACTGAGGGAGGGAACTGAGGGAGGGAACTGCGGGAGGGAACTGAGGGAGGGAACTGAGGGAGGGAACTGAGGGAGGGAACTGAGGGAGGGAACTGAGGGAGGGAACTGAGGGAGGGAACTGAGGGAGGGAACTGAGGGAGGGAACTGAGGGAGGGAACTGAGGGAGGGAACTGAGGGAGGGAACTGAGGGAGGGAACTGAGGGAGGGAACTGAGGGAGGGAACTGAGGGAGGGAACTGAGGGAGGGAACTGAGGGAGGGAACTGAGGGAGGGAACTGAGGGAGGGAACTGAGGGAGGGAACTGAGGGAGGGAACTGAGGGAGGGAACTGAGGGAGGAACTGAGGGTAGGAACTGAGGGAGGGAACTGAGGGAGGGAACTGAGGGAGGGAACTGAGGGAGGGAACTGAGGGAGGGAACTGAGGGAGGGAACTGAGGGAGGGAACTGAGGGAGGGAACTGAGGGAGGGAACTGAGGGCGGGAACTGAGGGAGGGAACTGAGGGAGGGAGCTGAGGGAGGGAACTGAGGGAGGGAACTGAGGGAGGGAACTGAGGGAGGGACTGAGGGAGGGACTGAGGGAGGGAACTGAGGGAGGGAACTGAGGGAGGGAACTGAGGGAGGGAACTGAGGGAGGGAACTGAGGGAGGGAACTGAGGGAGGGAACTGAGGGAGGGAACTGAGGGAGGGAACTGAGGGAGGGAACTGAGGGAGGGAACTGAGGGAGGGAACTGAGGGAGGGAACTGAGGGAGGGAACTGAGGGAGGGAACTGAGGGAGGGAACTGAGGGAGGGAACTGAGGGAGGGAACTGAGGGAGGGAACTGAGGGAGGGAACTGAGGGAGGGAACTGAGGGAGGGAACTAAGGGAGGGAACTGAGGGAGGGAACTGAGGGAGGGAACTGAGGGAGGGAACTGAGGGAGGGAACTGAGGGAGGGAACTGAGGGAAGGAACTGAGGGAGGGAATTGAGGGAAGGAACTGAGGGAGGGAACTGAGGGAGGGAACTGAGGGAGGGAACTGAGGGAGGGAACTGAGGGAGGGAACTGAGGGAGGGAACTGAGGGAGGGAACTGACCTTACCGGACGGCGCATTAAACTCTCTCTGTACAAGTACAGCGAATACCATATGTATTCCCATTTCCTTTGAAATATACCATTCCCCACCCCCCTACCATGTTTTAACTTATCTGATCAATGTAATTTGGCATATGTAGACATTGCAGTCGTGCATGGTACCTGCACTACAGGCGCGCATACCGACCAAACTAACCAGCGCATTACATATGTTTGTAAAAATGCAGTTAGTGCCATATTCTTGCCAGTCCACTAGATTAGGCCCTATACTTCAACAACACTAGGTTATAACCTTTCCGATCCACATAGTTTGGCAGATTTTAGAGTTCTAGTTCCGCCTAGTACCTACACACAAGCATGCATACTGACCTTACTGGTCAACGCATTATTCTCTCTGTACAAATACAGCAAATACTGTCAGAATGTTATTATTGTCTAGCCTGCAGTGGGGTACTCCATAGTGAGTACAGCCCAATTAGGGTTTGCTATATGTATCCAACTGCTTCCTAGTCAAACCCCTCCTTTCTTCATTCTTGTTTCTACTGCTAGTTCTGACATGGTATCAGAGCAGGTCGACCCCCTTGGGTCGATCCTGTGGGTGGGCCCCACCCGATGCTTCCGCTGCTCTACTGCTGTCGCGCGCCCCTGGCGCGTGACCCTTTCTTCCTGCCGCGCGCCCGGAGCGCGCGGCGTTTTTCATCCCGCCGTGCGCTCGGGGCGCGTGGCGGTTTTCTGCCCGCCGAGTGCCCCGTGGCGCGCGGCGGTTTTCTGCATGGCGCGCCCCCCGTCGGCCCTCGCGTCGCCTCAGGGGATCCGCGCGCGCCCCCCGTCGGCTCTCGCGCTGCCCCGCTGGACCCGCGCGCGGCACCCCGTCGACCCTCGCGTCGCCTCCGGGGACCCGCGCGCGCCCCCCGTCGGCTCTCGTGCTGCCCCGCTGGACCCGCGCGCGGCACTCCGTCGACCCTCGCGTCGCCTCCGGGGACCCGCACGCGACCCCCGTCGACCCTCGCGTCGCCCCCGGGGACCCGCGAGCCGCCCCCGGAGCCGTGCGCGACCCCCCCGCTGCCCCGTCGCGGCGCCCTGGGGAGCCGCGCGCGGCCCCTCGCTGCCCCATGGTGGCGCCCTGGGGGCCGCGCGCCTTCCCCCTCGCCGTCCCCCGCGGTCCTTCCCCGTGCCACCCGTTTTAGGGTTTGGGGGTGGGGAGTGTGGGGGTGGCGGTTGTGGGGGTGCCGGTTGTGTGCGCCGTCCCCTACTCCTCCTCCTCCTCCGTCTCCCGCTGCTGCAGCTGCCGCTCAGGGGGTGGATGTGTGGTGTCCGGAGGAGAGGCGTTAAGGGGGTGCCGTGGGAGTGGAGCTAGGGTTTCAGCAGGGGGTGTGTGAAAGGGGCGTGGGACTGTTGGGGGAGGTTGTGTGGAGGTAGCTGTCGTGTCGCCTGCAGCGCCTGTAGTCCGTCGCCCTTGCTTCGGTAGCCAGTGAGCCTGTTGCACCAGTTGCCAGTGGGTCCGTTGCTCCGCCTGTTGCACCAGTCGCCAGTGGGTCCGTTGCTCCTACCGCTCGTCTTAGCCGCGTAGCCAATCACTCCAGTAGTCCGTCGCCCTTGCTTCGGTAGCCACTGAGTCAGCCACTCCTGTGCCCGTGCCTCTGCAGCTTCAGTCGTTGCCTCCCATCTTCTCTCCTTCCACAGTTCCTCCTCCTCCTCACTTGCCCGCTGTGATTACCTCTAGCTTTGCTTATTATTGTGAACTCCTGCTATGCCTGCTCATTGTGCTGATTATACCCCACTTTGGCTATGGGGGTGTGTCAGAATGTTATTATTGTCTAGCCTGCAGTGGGGTACTCCATAGTGAGTACAGCCCAATTAGGGTTTGCTATATGTATCCAACTGCTTGCTAGTCAAACGCCTCCTTTCTTCATTCTTGTTTCTACTGCTAGTTCTGACAAATACCATATGAAATTCCATTTCCTTTAGATTATACCATTCCCCACCCCTCTACCATGTTTTAACCTATCGGATCAATGTAATTTGGGATATATAGACATTTCAGTCGTACATGGTACCTGCACTACAGGCGCGCATACCGACCAAACGGACCAGCGCATTACATATGTTTCTAGAGGTGCAGTTAGTGCCGTATTCTTGCCAGTCCACTAGATTAGGCATTCTACTTCAACAACACTAGGTTATAACCTTTCCTATCCACATAGTTTGGGAGATTTCAGAGTTCCAGCTCTGCCTTGTACCTACACACAAGAGTGCATACTGACCTTACCGGCCGACGCATTATTCTCTCTGTACAAATACAACGATTACCATATGTATTCACATTTCCTTTAAATAAAACCATGCCCGACCCCCCTACCATATTTTAACCTATCAGATCAATGTAATTTGGCAGATATAGACATTGCAGTTGTACATGGTACCTGCACTACAGGCGTGCATACCGACCAAACTGACCAGCGCATTACGTATGTTTGTAGAGATGCAGCTAGTGCCATATTCTTGCCAGTCCACTAGATTAGGCCTTCTACTTCAACAACGCTTGGTTAAAACCTTTCTGATCCACATAATTTGGGAGATTTCAGAGTTTCCGTTCCGCCTTGTACCTACACAAAAGCGTGAATACTGACCTTACCGGCCGACGCATTATTCTCTTTGTACAAATACAGTGTATACCATATGTATTCCCATTTACTTTAAATTATATCATTTCCCACCCCCCTACCATGTTTTAACCTATCGGATCTGTGTAATTTGGCTGATATAGACATTCCTGCCGTACATGGTACCTGCACTACAGGCGCGCATACCGACCAAACTGACCAGCGCATTACGCATGTTTGTAGAGATGCAGTTAGTGCCATATTCTTGCCAGTCCACTAGATTAGACCTTCTACTTCAACAACACTTGGTTATAACCTTTCCGATCCACATAATCTTGTACCCATACACAAGCGTGCATACTGACCTTACCGGCCGACGCATTATTCTATTTGTACCAATACAGTGAATACCATATGTATTCTCATTTCCCTTAAATTATACCATTTCCCACCCCCCTACCATATTTTAACCTATCGGATCTATGTAATTTGGCTGATATAGACATTCCTGTCGTACATGGTACCTGAACTACAGGCGCGCATACCGACCAAACTGACCAGCGCATTACGTATGTTTGTAGGGATGCAGTTAGTGCCATATTCTTGCCAGCCCACTAGATTAGGCCTTCTACTTCAACAAAACTTGGTTAAAACCTTTCTGATCCACATAATTCGTGAGATTTCAGAGTTCCAGTTCCGCCTTGTACCTACACAAAAGCGTGAATACTGACCTTACCGGCCGACGCATTATTCTATTTGTACAAATACAGTGTATACCATATGTATTCCCATTTACTTATATAATTTCCCACCCCCCTACCATGTTTTAACCTATTGGATCTATGTAATTTGGCTGATATAGACATTCCAGTCGTACATGGTACCTGCACTATAGGCGCGCATACTGACCAAACTGACCAGCGCATTACGTTTATATGTAAAGATGCAGTTAGCGCCATATTTTTGCCAGTCCACTACATTATACCTTCTACTTCAACAACACTTGGTTATAACCTTTCCGATCCACATAATCTTGTACCTATACACAAGCGTGCATACTGACCTTACCGGCCGACGCATTATTCTATTTGTACAAATACAGTAAATGCCATATGTATTCTCATTTCCCTTAAATCATACCATTCCCCACCCCCCTACCATATTTTTGTCAGATTTATATGACATAGCTACTGTAGGCTATAGTGGGGTAGCACATATGGGGTACAGTTTTCTAGGGTTTACATTTGTACCCAACTTTCCCTTAGTCAATTCATTCTCGTTCAGCTTCTCATGGTATCAGAGCAGGTTCCCCTGTGGGAACTGTTCCTAGGGCCCACCAATTTTTTTTTTCCTGCCCGGAGCGCGCTCTACACTGTCGCGCTGCCCCCCATTTTCTGTGGCCGTTTGCGGTTCGGTACGCGGCGCATCAGATCAACCCTCACCCCAGGGTCTCCATGCCGGAGACCTCCCCAGCTTTGCTGTGGACAGGGAAGGTTGGCGATGCGTCTGCGTTCCGTGTCTGGGGATCTTGGGCGTTTGTCCGCGACTTGTCTGCGGACAAGCTGTCCCCTCGTGCTGCTCCTTGTGTCTTCCTTGGCTTCCCCCCTGACGCGCCAGGGTGGCAGTTCTACCACCCCACCTATCGCCGTGTTCTGTCCTCCCAGGACGTCACGTTTGACGAGTCGGTCCCCTACTACCGCCTCTTCCCCTACCGCACTCCGTCCCTCCCCCCGCCACCGCTCTTCCTTGTGCCAGGTCCCCCCCCGGTAGACCCCCTCCCCCCTCAGGGTCCTGCCCCTTCAGGTGTGTCCCAGGTAGACGCAGTCGAGCCTGTCGAGGTTACTGGTGACTCTGGTGCTGCTGAGGGTGCTGAGCCTGGGGGTGCTGACTCTGGGGGTGCTGAGCGTGTGGGTGCTACGCCTGGGGGTGCTGAGCCTGAGGGTGCTACTACTGGGGGTGCTGAGCCTGGGGGTGCTGAGCCTGGGGGTGCTACTACTGGGGGTGCTGAGCCTGGGGGTGCTGAGCCTGGGGGTGCTGAGCCTGGGGGTGCTACGCCTGGAGGTGCTGAGCCTGGGGGTGCGGAGCCTGAGGGAGCTGGGCCTGCTTGTGTGGCGTCTGGCGGTGCTGAGCCTGGAGGTTCTCCGGGTGCTTCGTCTCGGCGGGAGCCACTCTCTCCACAGGAGCTGCGCGAGTGGTTTGCCCGGCGCTGGAGGCGTGCTGCTGGAGCTGGAGGTTCTTCGGCTGCTGAGGGTGCTGGTGCCGCGGGTCCCGGAGGTGCTCGTACTGGGAGTACTGGAGCTGCTGGGCCTGCGGGTACGACTGGAGCTGGAGCTGCTGAGGGTGTTGACGCTGAGGCTACTGTTGTCGGTCCTCGAGGCGGTCCTGCTGGGGGTGCTACTGGTGCTGCTGGAGGTA